CGTCAGCTTTGATTCTTCCCCATGCCCCCCTCCTGCCCGCGGCTCCTCAGCCTGTGCCGGGGCCCCATCACGCAGTTCCTCCCGTGGCTGCATGGATGATCCTGGCCCCGGGGTGCTGCTGGCCCGTCTGTGCCGGCCCGGCGCGCCTCCTGCCCCGCACGCTGGCTGTCGGAGGTTGTTGCCAGCTTCAAAGGCTCCTAAGAAAACAGCCACGGGAGGGGGACGGGGGGGTCCGGCTCTCTGGCTCAGCGAGCAATTATGAGCAATTCGGGAAGAGCACTCCTCGCCTTTGTTCCCTGGCGCCGGCGCGAGAAGGCGCCCGTGTGATTTCTGCATCCGATCTTAAAACGCGCCCCCTCTGTTCTCCGGTGAGTGCAGCCTCAGCGAGAATCAGCTCTCAGCCAGGGTAGTGCCTTCCTGTCTGATGACAAGAGACGGGGACGGGGACCTGAGCACCAGCCACAGCCCTGGGGGCCACACCGTGATGGTGGCCCTGGGGGTCTCGCTGCCCCGTGGTGGCCCTTGGGCACCTTCCCACTCTGACATCTGACGTGGCTGAGGGTGTGTGCTGGCAGCAGGGAGCATCACCCGCCGTCAGCCAGCGCCCCCGTGAGGCAGCAGCGGGCAGTGTGAGGGCCGGCAGGGCAGCGGTGACCCCGGCCCAGGCCCCGACCCCAGGGAGCAACGTGCAGACTCGCTCTCAGCTGCACCGGGGTGGGAAGGCGACTTCCTTCAGACACACGGTGACCCAGATCCTGTTTCCCGGCATGTCCCAGACAGGTGTGTGTCTGAGGAGGGTCCCCAGCGGCAGGCTGGGCCTTGCGCCCCGTGAGATGGACACAGGCGTGTGGAGGGGGAGAGGCCGGAGCTCAGGGACAGAGAGAAGCTGACCCATTCAGGGCCTGGGCACTGTGGGCACCGGCAGCCCCAGGCCAGGAGAGCCAGGGACCGGCCAGTGCCAGACACGCGGGGCCACGGTGCTGAGCCCGTCCCCTCACCAGCCTCACCCCCAGGCTTTGCAGGCCCCGGGAAGGTCAGAGTGAGCGGGGGCAGCTGCCCGCTGGGCCCCCCGGGACTGACCCTTCCCTGCGACTCTTGGAAATACCCCAGACCATTGCCACTCGTGGCGGGTGGGCGGGCCTGGCGGCACCCCTTCTCCCCCAAGCCACGGTCCACCCTGGCCCTCTCGTGGTGGGTGCCCTGTGTGGCTCCTCTGGGCACTGAGACCTCAGTCACCCCGAGGGGACGGGGCTCGACCCCTGCCTCGTGGGGAGGAGAAATCTCAGGCGGGGAACTGCTTCCTCACCCTGAGGGAGCACCCGGGGGTGAGCGGGACCCTCTGAGGGAGAGGGCTGTGGGGGAGGGAGCACCGGGAGAGGAGCACCCGGGAGGGAGTGAAAGCAGGGGCATCCCCGTGAGCGAGGGTCCCCGAGAGAGAGGGTCCCCGTGAGAGAGGGTCCCTGTGAGCAAGGCAGCTCCCGTGACAGTGCTCCTCCCACCGTGAGGGTGCTCCCTGCGGTGCTCCTGTCTCCCCGGAGCTCTGGGCTGGGCGAGCCCCTCCCCGTCTCTGCCTCACTCGGGCGCCAGGGCCTGTCTCTCCGTTTGTCTGCCTCGGCTGAGGGGACGCTGGCTACAGACAGGCCCCCGGGTCTGTCTCCTCAGGGCTGTGCTCCCCACAAGCTGCCGTGCCTGGTGCCGCGTCAATGGCCCACAGTCCCCAAGGCCTGTGGCCGCCATCCCCGTCAGGACAAGTGACCTCGGGGCCTGCGCCGAGAGCCGGGACAGGAGCAAAACCAGCCTTGGACTGTGCTGGCCACCTGCCTGGGTCCCGGGAGCCTGGATGGGGACCCTCGGGCCTGCCGAAGCCTCTGGCCTGCCATAGCCGAGACCCCCTCCACCCTGTCCGCCGTGCCACGGTGCCTTTGTCCGCCCAGGGGCGTCTCACCTGTGGTCGCTCACCACTGACCTGGGCTCTGCCAGGACTCGGCCCCCTGTTGGGCCTCAGGGCCCCACCGTGCCCTGCCAGGCCCGCCCAGCTGCCCGTGACACTGGTGGGCACAGCCTGCGTCCCTCCACCCCAGGGGGGTCGTGAGTGTCTTTCCCAGAAGCAGAGTCTGTGTTTGCTCCGACGTTGCGTGTAGACAATGCCTGTGTGGAATCGAGCAGTGTTTGATCCATCATGTCTTCATCACACTCTCTTACTATGCTATAATTCCCCCAAATCCTTACGGGTGTTTTTTGGGGGGGCGTGGGGTGGTTTGGGGGCCACACCCGGCGGTGCTCAGGGCTTGCTCCTGGCTCTGACTCAGGCTCACTCCTGACAGACTCGGGCCTCTTTGGGGTGCTGGGGATCGAGCTATGGAAGGAAGCACCTCACCCGTCCCACCGCGCCTGCCCCTCCTTCGATATTTTTGACAGCGCAGCTCCAGACCACTCCCGAGCCTCCCTGAAGAATCCCCCATCATTCATCGGCACCAACTTCCGTTGCGGAGCCTAAGCATAGGCTATCAGTTATTCAGCACTGTGAAAAGTACGACGACATTCACACATTTGGCTTTGGATTCGGACCTTAGATCTCTGAGTACACTTTTCAGGAGATTTCTGGGTCCAAGAGTTCGGATTTTGTTTATATACACACTCTTTTCTCTTGTGGTTTGGTATTTTTGTGGCACACCTGGTGGTGCTCAGGGCTGACTCCTGGCTCTGTGCTCGGGGGTCCCTCCTGGAGGGGCTGGCGGGGGAGGGGCATGGGCGGAGCCGGGCACCCATCCCGGGTCAGCTCCGGGCAGGGCCAGCCCCCGCCTGTGCTGCTCTCTGGCCTCCTCAGCATTCCCTCACGCCTTGTCCCACACCACGCGGTATGTCCCGTCCTTAGTGAGGCCTGGGCGCTCCCTCGGGGCTGACCCTCCGGGTGCTGCCTCTCTCCTGCCCCCTGGAGGCCACACTGAGCAGCAGCGCTTGGTCCTCGCGCCCATCTCTGGAGCCGAGGACCAGGGATCCTTTCCATTCTCTTCCCTCCCGAGGCCAGATGCTTCCGGTCTCCCCTGTGCGGAGATGGGGTGGGGGTGGGGGGACTCGCGTGCCGGCTTGGCGGGTGAGGGCTCCCGGGCTCTGGTGCTCCCCCACTCCTGCCGACTGGGCACCCACCCACCGCTGCAGCCAACCGTGAGATCTTAGCGCTTTCCCTTGGGACACGGGAGAGCGAGCTGCACCCGGAGCTCCTGTGTGCTCAGGAGCCATCCGCTCTCCCCTCCCACCCGGCTCTCCCGGTCCCTGCGTCCCCTCCCTGCCGAGCCCCTGGCAGTGGCTGCGGCCGGGCCGCCCCCTGAATGCCACGGGTTTGGGCTGGACGCGGGGCTGGTTGATGGATACCGGCCCTGGCAAGGGAGAGTGCAGGCTCGGGTGCTGACGGCCTCGTTCTGCGGCGGGCGGCTCCCAGATGGGGGGCTTGGGGCCGCGGTGAGGGGCCGGCCGCGGGACCCCGGCTGGGGACCCGGCCGGGAGCTGCTCCCTGCGGTCCCAGGGCAGGTGCACTTCGGCAAAACCTCTGCAGCACGTGGGTCTTGCTGCCACGCAGCTCGTTCTGGAGCTCGGTGTGCTCTGCTGAACTGGGGGTGTCATGGGCACCCCGGCGCCATCAGAGCCGTGCTTCCCCACTGACCCCCCCCCCACAATGGCAAGAGCGAGCTGGGAGGGCCCCGTGCTGGGCCAGGCCCTTGCTCAGCTTGTGTGTGTGCATGTGTGTGTGCGCGTGTGTATGTGCGCACATGAAGAGATGGGGTCCTCCATGCTGTTCCATGTGTGTGCACACGAGGAGGTGGGGCCCCGCGTGTGTCCCGTGTCCGTGCACAGGTGGTGCCTGAATCTGCACCCTGAGGCCGAGAAGCCCACTCACCTGCAGCAGAGCCGCAGCCCCCGCAGGAGGGCCCAGAGGGGCTTCTGGGCGGAGGCAGTGACGCTGTCCCAGTGTGTGTGGGGGGGGGTGGTCCCCACGACCCTGAGCCCCCCGGCTGAACAGGACATCCCCAGCCTTAGGGGCCTCCTCAGAGCGAGGGGCTGGGCGCCACCTGGTGGCAGTCTTGAGGATTGCAGCTGAGTCTGTACTGTGCTTGGCAGGGCTCAGGGCTGGCTCAGGGCTGGCTCAGGGCTGGGGGCTCAGGGCGGGGGGCCACGCAGCCCCCCGGGACCGTGGCAGGGGGGAGACTGCACAAACCCCAGGTTCCGGCCCGGCAGCAGGAGATGCGCCTCCGTATCTGCCTGAGCACCCCCTGCTCTGACAGGAGACTCACGGCCCCCCTGGGTCACCAGCAGAAGATGGGGCACAGCCCTGAGCAGGAAGCCAGTAGGGGGGGTCGCCCAACAGGCCACGCTGGCATTGGAGGGGGAGCCGTGGGGGTCTCCTGGGCAGAGAAGGGGCATCAGTAGCGGGGGGGCATCTGAGCCCTGGGGAGCCCGGACACACCAGTGGCCGTGAAGCTGCAAGAGAGGGAAAGAGGGACAGGGACCCAGGAAGGCGGGCCGGGACCAGCCCCAGGTCTCAGCAGACGTGGTGGGCAGCAGTGCCTGCATCTGAGTCGGAGGGTCCGGCATCCTGTGACCCGCAGTGTCCAGCAACTGCCCGCTGCATCCCACCCCCGCGGGCCCATGCTGTCCTCCCTCCGGAGAGCGAATGAGTGGGCGGAGCTGCTGGCCCGTGTGGGGGAGAAGCGGGGAGGCCCCGGGGGTCCCTGCTGGGACCCTCTGGGTGCTGGCAGCCCTGGGGTGACCTGACACTGCCCTCGAGCAGGTCCAGTACCCACTGAGCTTGGGGCACTGGACACATGGGGCCCCACAGTGGCCTGACCCCGGCCCCAGCTTGTGCTCTGCTGACCAGTGGGACATGGCAGGCTGAGGGGGCCGGTGGGTCCTGCAGCAGAGGCAGTTCCCTGAGCACTGTGATGGGAGTCCTGCTGAGACAAGGCCCAGGACTCAGTGGGACCCTCTCCCTCTTCTCTCGACAGGCTCAGTGTGACCCGGAGTCGCCCGAGGCCCAGACGGCTGCGGCGGAACAGGTAAGAGGCGGGCGGGTGGCCGGGGCTTCTCCTGGAGACGCAGGTGGGGCCGTCAGCCGCAGGGCCCCGCTGTCCAGCCCTGGGTGCCCACTTCGGAGCGGGTGTCCTGGCCCAGCCCTGGCCGCGGGTGTCCACGGTGTGGGCTGGCTCCTTGCCCAGGGGCGTGGCACTGCCCAGCTGGGCACTGACTTGGGGCCAGCGGTGCTGGGCAGCTGAGTGGGCCTGACTCGGGGGTCACTGGCAGGGAAACTGCGGCGCACACGAGCCCAGGACCCCCCCTTGCTGGACGCCGGGCAGACAGGGTGGGTCTGCCTCACCCCCTGGGGCCATCCTGGACAGCAGCTTTCCTGGGTGGGCCCTGCCGGGTCCTTCCTGCTGGACGCGGATTCTCACCCTTCAGTCAGCCGTGCGGAATGAAGGGCCACGTTAGGGGCAGAAACATGGCCCAGTGGCCTTGGGGCCGGGGGCAGTGGTTACCCTGACGTCACAGAACGCCAGGACGCAGTGACCCTGGCTCCCGGCAGGGCCAAGGGACCCACAGGGCAGGGCCGCGGGCACCGTCCAGCCCCGGCTCACGTAATGCAGAGACAGAGGCAGCAGCCGCTCGGGGCTGGGGTTCTCCCCGGCGTGGCTGTGACCTGCTTGTCTCCCATCCCCGAGCTCAGGACTCTCCTTGGCAAGGCTGTCAAGACGCCTCCGGCTGCCGTCCTTCTCAGACGTGGCGTGGAGTCCGCAGAGTGACATGGCAGGGGCCGGGCAGCAGCCTGAGCACCCCCTCGCCTCACGGTGACAACGGCACGGGGTGTCCCCTTGTGCGTCTGAGCCAGGCTGGGGCAGCCCTGGAGGGTCCGCGGCTGGCTGAGGAGTAGGAGGCGCCCGGCTGATGCCTGGGGGGTCGCGGCAGGCTCGGCGGGCTCCCAGAGGGCGGGCAGCGTGTCCTGGGCGTGTTGGCGCCCTGGGGCCTCCCTAGAACGCCCACCCTGGGCTGGAAAGAGGCCCCATGAGTGCTGGCGGCCACGCAAAGCTGGAGTGGGGGGCGCCGCCGTGTCCACAGAGGGGCCAGTACCAGGACGCTCCAGCCTCAGGAGAGGTGGTTCTGATCGGTTGCCGTGGCAACGTGCCCACCCCCGTCCACCTGCAACCCAGAGCAGCAGAGCCAGCGGCTCCCAGGGGGCGGCCACAGAGCAGAGCCCCCTGCGGTGCGGACGCAAGTCCAGGAGCTGGACCCCAGGTCCAGAGGCCCCCCGCGGGTGCTGGGCGCCCCGGCCAGCCAGACGGGGACGCCAGGCAGAGGCTGGTGCCGGGAAGGCGGGGGCCAGCCTGAGCTCCCTCCCAGGACCCCGCAGTGGACAGGATGATGTTTCCAGGCCAGATGCCCTGCGATGCCACAGAGCTATCCCACCCACCCACCCCCCACTGCCCCTGAGACCACACGGGCAGAACAGAACCTCCCGAGTCCAGTTGACACGCTTCCTCCAGCCTTCCACTTGCTTGGGGATGGCGGCCCCCAGCCTGCTGCAGCCTGTCCCCCAGTCTCTTTCCTCACTGGACCCACCCCTCACACCGCCACTTGCACGCACACATGTGTAATCATGCACACACGTGCACACAGGTACTCATGTGAATGCACACATTCACACTCATGTGTGCAGACGGGCTCACACTCCCCCATCCGTGTGCTCCCACAATGCTCTCACTCGTGTGTACACATGTATCCATGCACACCATGCTTATCCATACATGTACTTGCATGAGTGTACACTCAACATATGTAGGTTCGCACAGACACATGAGCACCCTCACACATGTGCTCGCACACACTCGTGTGAACACCGGGACACATTTGATCACACATGCACACCCACGCATGTACATACAATGTGCTTATGTGTGCACATGCTCTTGTGCACAGATGTACACACGTGTGTCACGCCTACACACGAATACACACCCACATGCTTGAGACAGGAGCCTCTCCATGCTGTTGACTCAGCCGAGAGGGTGAACACGAACTTCCCACTCGCACCTGAGCGTCCAGAGAGGGCGGCTCAGCAGCTGCCTGCACTGGACAGCCGTGTCCTTGGTCAGCGCCCACCAGACTCACCAGGGCAGAACTGGCACCGTGTCCAGTATGTGTTCAGGAGTCCAGTTTGTGGTCTGGCATGGGGACAGCATGGAGCTCGGTTCAGTGTGGGGGCCCAGCGGGGTGTCTAGCATGGGCTCTACTGTGAGATCCAGTGTTTGTCTGGGGAGATGTCCAGAGCGGGGCTCAGCGTGTTTCCAGGGAGATGTCTGGGGGGTCCCTGTGTGGTGTCCAATGTGTCCAGTGGGTATTCATGTGTGTGTCCGGTGTGTGTCCACTGAGTGTCCAGTGAGTGTCAGTGCGGGGCCCAGCTGTGTCTGGTGTGTATCCAGTGTGTGCAGTGAGTGTCCGTGCAGGGGTCCGGCGTGGCGCCCAGTGTGTCTGCTCAGGGTGTTGTGACGTGTCCCAGGAGCAACGTAGGGTGAGCTGGGTTAGACACGAGCCGTAGCCACAGGAGGTCTGTGCCGTGAAGCCGAGGAGGGGACAGTCGCATTACGAGGACAGCTGAGCAGGGTCGCGGCATCAGGGTGCTGCTCTGAGGGTCCAGCCGCCGGGCAGTGCTCGGGCTTGGGGCTGCAGCGCAGGCAGGGACCCCGGGGAGTAGCGGCTGGGAGGGCCCCACTGGCTGAGGTGGCCCTTGTGTCCCCCAAACTCTACAAAGGCCGGGCTGGTCACCACGGCAGAGTCGGGACAGTCGAAGGTAGAATTCTGGCCCCTCTGCCGTGGGCACGCCCTTGCCGTGCCGCCTGTCCCCGCTGCACGCTGCCGCCCATGTCCACTGCGTGCAGGGGACTGGACATGTGGACTTGAACCCCCCGCTCCCTGCCTATGGCCCCGAGGCCTTGGTCAGCACAGCCACCCGCCCCCCAGCAGCTTCTGGCCGCTGCCCCTCCACGCCGGCACAAGGCACTCCCCACGTTCTTCTTGTGCCTGTCCCCTGGGGCGTGTGTTTTGAAAGTCGGGGCTGCCCTGGGCCCCTGAGTGCCCGGTGCTCCCCGGGGCCCTCGCAGGCCGCGCTCAGCCGTGGTTGCCAAGCTCCGGGCGCTGGCTCTCGCGGCAGCCCATGGCCCAGGACCGGCCAGCGCCGCGGCAGGCCTGGGGTCCCCCGGACCCGGCTGGCCTGGGCATTCCCTGGGAGCAGCTCGCCAGCACCGAGCAGGTAAGGGCCCCGCCGCGCCGCGCCGTGTGGGAGAGACGTCCTGGGGGGCCCGGCCCTGTGGGAGCCGGCGCTGTCTGCGGTCTGGTCTGCCGGCAGGGCCAGGCCCAAGGGGACTGCCCAGGGCACAGTCCTCCTGCCTGCGGTGGGGACCCAGACGGACAGGGGAGCCGCTGGGGCAAGACCCGGGGTTCAGACCACTTGCATGCTGGAGTAACAGGGGTTAGCCCCTCCTCTGAGTGCCGGAGCAACGAGGATCTCTCCCCCGTGTGCTGGAGTGACGAGGGTCTCAGCACCCCGGAGGCTGTAGTAACAATGGTCTCACCCCTCATATGCCGGAGTAACGAGGGTCTCCACCTCATGTGCTGGAGTAATGAAGGCCTCATCCCCCCTCCCCATTTTCTGGAGTGACGAGGATCTCTGCCCTGTGTGCTGGAATAATGAGGGTCTCATCCCCCCATATGCTGGAGTAATGAGGGTCTCAGCACCTTGGGGGCTGGAGTAACAATGGTCTCACCCACCCACCCGCCCCCCTATGCTGGAGTAATGAGGGTCTCCATCCCGTGTGCTGGAGTAACAAGGGTCTCATCCCGCCCCCCCCCCCCCGCCATGCTGGAGTAATGAGAGCCATACCCCCTCCCCCGTGGGCTGGAGTAACGAGACTCGCCCTCCCCGCCCTCTGTGCCAGAGTAGGGAGCACCACTCACCGTTCCCCTGTGTGCTGGGGGGATGAGGGTCCCGCACAGCCCTGCCCTTTGCTGGGGAACGATTCGCAGCCCTCAGATTGGAGTGCGGAACGCCATAACACCCCACCCCGTAACAGCCTCGGGTGGGGGGGGGCACACACAGAGTCCCTGGCATCTTGCGCTGTTGCCGTGGTAACAGGTAACCTGCTGTAGCACCTTCCCGCGGTCGACCCATCCCCCTGCTCGTGACGAGGCGGGCGTGCGGGTGTCCTGCTCTGCCAGCTCTGTGGGGATGCCCAGAAAGGCCTCCCCGTGCCCTGGGCACAGCTGCCGTGGGGTGCAGCCCCCCCTGGCCCCTCGGGGTCCTGCCCTGGCAGCTGGCTGGGGGCAGACACCTTCTGGGAGCTCGTTGGCCCTTCCCGGCCTTCCCGTATTTCTGGCGGCACCGGGGGCTGGTGAGGGGTCCTTGCTGCTGCTGCCTCTGGGTGGGCAGCTCCGGGTCCTTCTGGAAGCATCTGGAGACCGGCCAGCAACCCCAGTGATGGCAGTGTGTGCCCACCTGGGGCCCTGCGGCCAGCCGGTGGCTCAGGGCTCCAGGGCACGGAGCAGCGAGGAGAGGCTGCAGGGCAGAGCCGGGTGGGACGAGGTCTCCCCAGGCCCGGGTGAGGCGGCAGAGGGTCCCAGGGTCGGCAGGCCCAGCCCCCGCTCCTGCCCGGGAGCCGCTGACCCCAGGCAACACACACCCTGGTCCCAGCACGTCCCCAGCCTCTCCCCGGTGCCTGCTCCCAGGCCCGCACTTGCTCAGGCAGCAGAGGGGCCGCGCCCAGGCCCAGAGCCTGCAGGGGCACAGCCGTGGGGGGCACCGTCCAGGCCACTCAGGGGTTCTCTGGGCCCCAGAGCCAGGCACAGGGCTCTGCCCCCGCACCCCTGGGCTGGCGAGCACATCTGGGCACACCAGGCTGGACCCAGCAGCTCGTCTCAAGGCCTGATGTCCACGTCTCAGGCCCTGATGTCCACATCTCAGAGGGGTCAGTGACTGGCCCCTAGGAGTAGGTCCTCACCTGGGTTCATGACTG